CAAATGAAAAACATAAACATCCAAATCTAAATCTCAGCTTTCTTGTCAACTTTTTTTGCTGCTGTAATTTTTTCCTGCTTTTCAGAGGCAACTCTGTTTAGCGCGTTGCCTCTGAAAAGCAGGAAAAAATTACATCAAATTAAAGTAAACAATTCTAAAGTCTAATATTTTAGAATTGTTTACTTTATTTCTATCAATGATTTCTGCTTTTTCGCTTGCAATGCATACTCATCTGCATCATATCTGAGCTGAAGTATGGTACCTTCAAGGGTGTGAACTTGATCATTATAACTAGTAATCGCTTTATTAAAATTTTTCAGTTTAGTATTACGGTCACTTTTTAAAGCATTCAAGGACTTCTCTTTCTGAATGCTAAAGTATAGTTTTCGTGCATCCTTAACATGTCCCATAAGTTTAATTGTCATAACCAATTGGGATAATTTTATATTTTTACTGCACATGAAGTCATGTACAATTCTCTGTACAACAAGAGTATCAGTTAGCATATTATTATCCAGAAGTTGGTCGTTTATACTAAACCCACGCTCTACTTGTGCTTGGTCATGGGACAATATTAGTAAAAATTGGTAAATTTTCATAAAATCCTTGAATCTTGAAGCATCTGTATATTAAATCAAAAAAGAATCAAATCTATCACTTTCTTTTTTGAACCCAAGAAATTTTTCCTTGTTCACTTTCACAATAGTAATTAAAAAATTGTGAATACTGTAATTTGGCTTGATCAGCAACTGAAGGTGATACCTTTTTATAAGCAACTTTCAGCAACAACTTGTCAAAATAAAGTTCACACATCTCATGAGATTCAACCATGTGCAAAAGTGATAAACATAATAAGTATCAGGCAAAGTATGAGTTTAGAACACTTTTTTCAACCATATGTTTGCACATTGTAACTAAAAACTGTTGAACATCTGTTTTAAAATTATAGATTTGTGCATCAGTAACTTTTTTTCTAGATCTCAGTTGCTGCCATTCATACCTTATTCCAAACCCAAGATCAATATTTGCAACCAACATTTGATTTTTGACACCACTGATATCAACTTTTAATAATTTAAAAATTGTGGATGCTTTAGACAAAACTTCTTTTTTGATAAATTTTAATAAAAATAGCCTCAGTAAATTCTCAAGTGTTTCCACAAGAAAAGGTGTCATTGGATTGTCAGTTTGGAAAATTAATAAAGAAGAATTTTACAGTTTTGCAGTTTCTTTAAAAAATGGAACTTTATAGAGACTTACACGTCTTTATACCATGAAGAAAGATAGTATTTTTCCCAGGCTTACATTGACCAGGTTGCTTGTTTTTAGGTAAATTTTTCCAAAAATCAATAGTCACAATAATCTTGGGCCATATTTCCATATATTTATTTATCTCTAGCTTTTATTTAGCTCTCTTTGCTACTTTCTCATTTTCAATCCAACGATGGCAACAGAACTGTAACGATGGCAACAGAACTGTAGAGCATAATCTGAAGACTGAGCTTAAGTAAGGCTTTTTGAAATCAGCACGACAAGAAGGGCTCTCATAGAATATCTTAAACAATGAAGGCAGCAATTTGTTCAATTTCCATTCTGAAGCATTTGTACCATTCTTGAATGAACATTGGATTGTGTGAAGGCCACATGATCCAATTGATACTAACTTACTGAGTTCACATTCACTTCTCTTAGCATTCAAATTAGAGAGGAAAGACATGTTAACATTTGGACCATCCCTGGAAACATGGAGCATTTTATCTTCTTCTAAACCACTCATACATTTACGGAAATTTATCATAGTATCGACAGCAGCAGCTTTTCCCAGGAATTCAGAGTTGAAATATCTTGTTTTTACCATCTCTAATGAGTTCCAATATCTAACATGCAAATCCATCTGACTCTTCTTGACAACATGGTTGTAAGATTCATCAAATTGGCAAACAAACTAATCAAGTTCTGATAATGAATCACACAAAATTTCCTTAAAATACGATGCAATTCCAAAGCACATAAGATAAGTACACTTTGTTTTCCCACAAGAAAATTGTTTAGCTATTTGACTATCACTAAACATTGCAGTAAATAATTCAGATTTATTTGCACTTGATCAAAAAGAATGTTTTGAAAGCAAAACATCAACTGCCCACAGTATCTATGCTTTCTTTGCTAACTGCTGTGGACACAGTGCCGCTTTTGGGCTAGTTGGTGGTTCTAAAACAGTTTTCAATGCATATTTATCACAAGCAGGCATACGTTGTTTGTATGCCTGCTTGTGATAAATACCATTACCATTAGCATGTTTTTCCGATGCCTTTGTACCCAGACCTGCAACAGAAATAACTTTCAAACATACCTTACATTTTACCGAATACAAATTGTTGGGGCATTTTTGTACCCATTGTTTATAATTATTGTCATTTAACCAATGATCTTGAAATTTAGTTTATATTTGACTGACATATTCTAATCTAAAAATACAAGAATATTTGGGTTATGGGAAAGATAAAAATGTGAATAAAAATAATTTTAATTCCAAGAATTGCCAGACAGAAACAAGAAAAAAGTAAAAAGTGTCCTTTGAAAGTATAAAAACTTATGCACCCGGTATTAAAAACTTAATTTTTTTGCACATTATAGCAGTGTAAAGTTAAAAAAAATAACAGAACACAATATTTTTTATAATAAACAGTTTTAAAAAAACTAATAACATTTTTGATAATATATTAAATATTCATACATAAATAAATAAAGTAATAAAATTTATATGTGAAAAAACTAAATTTTGTGAATATGTTATAAAAAATTTTCAAAATAAATGCTGTTAAATATTACCCATGTTAACATGTTAAATTTACCATGTTAAATTTATACTGTTAAAAAAATATAACTTAAGTGTACACAGTGTATACCTTTGGCTCAACTGGTGGCTCAATGACTGTTTATATTTCTTTTATCACTCACAGGCATATATTGTTTATATCTTTATTCATTAACATGTATTTTCAATGTGTTTGTATCTAGATCTGCAACAGACATAACCTTCAAACACATAGTACATATAACATTCAAAAATACATGTTTTTTTCATTAATATATATTTTCAATGTGTTTGCATACAGCATCTGCAACATATAAAACTTTTAAACATACAGCAATCATCTAGGTTATATTAAAAATTTAGAATATATTTTGCAAAAAAAATTTAATAAATGTTAAACAATGCAGAATAATTTATTTTATAAATTTAGCATTCGGCTGGTGGTTTTCTCAACTTTATGATAAGTGATAATTGAAAAAGTTAACAGAAAAAAGGTATTACAAAACTATATTTTTAGAAAAAAACTTATAGCAAAAAGGAGTAGTTAAAAGAAAGATATCTGGAAATAAAAAAATCATCAAACATACTTAACATAATAACATAGTACTTAACCAAATAAAAATTTTTATATTTATTGTCTTTTAACCGCTTTTAAAATTTAGCTTTATATTTGACTGACGTTTCTATTCTGAACGTACAAAATTATTTTAGGTTAACTTAATCAAAATAAAGTTTTGATAAAAATAACTTTGATATTCAGAACTTAGGCAGAAATAAGAAAAAAAAGCTTAAGTTTTATTAGAAAAAAATTTTTAAATTATTAAAACATTACAAAAATATTAAATTAAATATTTGAGTAAATTATTTTCTATCAGTAAACAACAGCACTAAGTCCTAGTCTGATCCATTTCATTAACTATATTGTTGATTAGCTGATAATAGTTTATGCATTATACTCAGGACAAATAAATTAGGAGAATTTAGGAGTATTTGAGAAAATCACCTATACTTTAGGAGAAATTAGGTCTTTTTAGAATGTTTTTCAAATATAAGGACATTTTAAGATTTTTTAGGAGGCGTGGCCACCCTTTATATATATATATATATATATATATATATATATATATATATATATATATATATATATATATATATATATATATATATATATATATATATATATATATATATATCTGTGTGTGTGTGTGTGTGTGTGTGTGTGTGTGTGTGTGTGTGTGTGTGTGTATCCATATGCTTGTCTATTTGTAAATTGTGTACATAGATATTTGCTTGTGAACATTGATATTTGTTTTTATACATTAAAAAATACACAAATGTAATACAGATACAGGTATTTAACACACAATGCTCGTAACAATCCATGCATTATGACCAAATGCAAAATACATTTCATTTTATAACATTTATTCTAAAATCTTATAAGTGTATTATATTAAGAAATAAACTTAGTTTATAATAATAAACATAATTTTTTTTTACAATTTTACAAGGATAAATCATAGATTTGATATAGTATATGTTATAGCTTATTCGTTATAAAAATAAACTTGTTTGTTTACGCTTGTTTTGATTAGATAACACTTTTTAATTTTTCTTAATATAATAGAAAATTCCTCCAATAGCAGCTTTAACTGGTATAGGAGGAATTTTAAAGGGTATAGCAAGGTTAGATTTTGGCGTTATCAGTCTTCCGATTATTAAATTTACTCCTGCCTTTAACTAAACGGAGACATAGGAATACGAGTTTATTTTATCGCCGGCGATAAAGTAAACTACGCTAAAACTAAAAGTTAAAGTTGTTTTACTTTTAACCGACTGATAACTTATCGCGGAGAGATGTGAACACGGCTGCTGAACAAAGTTCGAAAGAAAGAAAATGCGATTTTCCGAATATATCTGAAATTAGTGCGGGTGAAAAGGAAAACAAACTTTTTTTTTATAAAAACCGGATATTTTTGTTTTAAATGGGGAAAAGTAACAAAAACTCGATGACTTGTAAAAAAAATCAGTTCAAGATATTGAATGCTTTTTTATTTTTAAACACATTTCCTCAATTAGTTTTAGAGCGACGCATAGCGCACCGTTAAAATAAATTTTTTTTAAAATTTATTTTACAAATACACAATTTTAAAAATCCGAAAATTAAATACCAAACAAGAAATGAAATACCGATAAATATGTATTATAAAAAGAAAATACGTAGCCGCTACAACAAATGTACACAGAAAACATTGTACGAACGTAAACAAAACCTTTATTGTCATAAGTACAAAAATATTTTTTCCAAATATAGAAAAAGTTGTCGGTTACAAATTTCACTCCCCCTTCCTAAAATACCGAAGCGAATAAAAACTATTTCAATACAAAACATAAATAGTAATTTACTTTTTTAAATTTTAAATGAGAACATAAAAATTGATATGAAGTTCGAATACTTAGAAAAGAATTTTTAGAATTTATTTAACAATTTATAATAGCAATTAAAGTAATAATATATTATTAAAATAACAAAAATAAAATACAAATTTTGTAATTATAAGATTATTTTCTTTGTGAAATATAAACGACTACCGCAATAGAAAACGTTACAGTAAACAGTTTACAAATATACTTAAAAGAATTATCAAATGAACATTTGTACAGAATGAAAATAATCAAGTTTTACCTATGAAAATACCCGATAAAGTCAAATGAACACGCGTATGCGTAAAAAAAGTAGTAAGCAAGCTGATCGTAAATATATACGAATAAAAACTATTTCAACGAGTTGCAATAAGTTGTATATAATTGGCAGGGAACATACCCTCACGAGAGTTTAATTTACCGTTCCACCAATGCTGATCAGAAGTATCGGTTACTTTAACTAGATCTCCTCGAGAAAACGAAAGCTCGTTCTCTTCTTGAGCAACAAAATCAAATAAGGCTCGACCAACCTGCAAATATTAGAAAAAAGATTATTATAAGAAAAATAAGACCAACCTGCCAATATGCAAATATTTGCAGGTTGGTCTTGTTTATAAATAATGCAATATAAATACAAAAACACTTTTTACAAAATTCAAGTTTTTTTTTTTTTGTCTGTCATCTTTGATCACTACCAACGTGTTAACGTCTGTCGTAACTATTAACTATTACAATTAGGAATATGAAATAATGACCTCATGAGCGTTAGTCATGTCTTTCAAATATATTGTTTGTGATCTACTAACGCTTGCTGCTCTGTGATATTCGACAAGTTGATTTAATGAATTAAACTTTACTACCCAGAGAAAATATTTTCCTGCTCCATCGCGCAGCACTTTGAAATGTTGCACTTGGTTATTAAACCTGTATTCGAAAAAGAATATAGGTTAAAAAAAATACGAGTTAGCAAATAAAGATTTAAAAAAAAAATACTCAAAAAATATTCTAAATTAAGAACATCTTGTCAACAAACAGTCAATATAAATGTTTTATGGCACGACCTATTCCTAGATTCACAAACGTTCATGATTATAAATGCATATATATCAACCTTCAGAATTAGGAAAAATGACGTCGGCAATTTATTGCCGACCTCAAAATGTTAGAGATAGGCATCAGGTCGGCAAAAAAATTTTTAAAACTAAGGGGTTATCATGAAACATAGAAAAGAGGTCAACAAGTTTTTGCCAAACTTAAACACTTTTAAGCCGGCAGTTAGGTCGGCATTCTCGAATGACGACCCTAATTCTGATGGCTAATACATACATGTTTACATACATATACCAGATACCTTTTCTGTCTATTAGCTATTAGCTAATTAACAAGTACTAGGTAAACACGAACTACAAACTGGTATAATGCAAACCATAATCCTATTGATAGTTAATGATATGATAGTCAATTTTTTTTTTACTATAAGTATGAGTCAACCCTGTGCCAACTAAAACCCTTGGTAAACTCAGTTTATCCCTTATAGCCTAGGTATTTTGTTCTCATTTAACCGGTTCGTAAACATACTTTGCAGATAATTATATAAAAATATAAAATATATATATAAATATATATATATATATATATATATATATATATATATATATATATATATATATATATATATATATATATATATATATATATATATATATATATATATTTATATATATAAATTATATTTATTAACTGGAAAAAAATCTTAGACTTTGTTAATGAATTTTGTTAATTAAACTATTAAAGATTTTTTAAGTCTCAAAAAACTTTTTTGCTTACCTAAAAATAACATGTTAAGTAATTAAGGTTGTTATATATTTTGTGACAAACTTATATATGCATATATACAACAAAATACATATATAAGTTTGCAAATTTTTGTTCAAAAAATATTGCACTTGTAAAAGATGTAACATAAATTAAATAATAAAATTAACTTACTTTACTGAGAGTGAAAAATCACCTAAAAATAAAATTAGATTAAAAAATCAATTAGATTATTTTAATTAGGAAGAACTTTTTATTTATTTAATTAGGAAGAACTTTTTTAATTAGGAAGAAAGTTTGTTAAAAAAAAAAAAATTTACCTGCTGTACTCTCACTATCTCGTATTAGGTAAGCTCCATCATGTGGTTCTTGTAAAAGTAGTTGTTCAGCCTCAGATCTGCGAATTTTTCCGTAATACCAACTAAATAATAACTATTACAAATTAATAAAAAATCAAGTCAAAATAGTATATTTATGTCTTTTCTCTGAGCCTAACTAACGTGTTCAGTTTCTCCTTTTTCTCCTTTAGATAGTTCTGATCATTGCATGGTCTCATGGTTAAATCTTTCATATCGTACTTCATTTTTGGACTCAACCTATCATTGCACCACTTACTAATTTCCTAAAGCTGACTGGAATTCTTTTTGAGATTTTCTTCATGACGGTCCTTGAATTCAGGCAGGAATAGAAGCTTTTATTTCTTCTATTTGGTTCCAAGCCTCATTTTACTCCATGGTTTTCAGCTTTTTGTGCAGCTGCTTTATCCAATCCTAATCGTTTTTTTCATAAATTTAAAAGAACATTTCTCTTGAGAACAAACAACTATTGCAAGAAATCTATGTAAAAAGGTGCTGTCAGATGCTAAGCTCAATTATTCTCAGTTCACTAAATCTCGTATCTTATTTCAGAAGTTAGGCTCTAGAGACTTGGAAAATCTTCAACATGGTCATTAACAAAGTTACGTCTAACATTTTATCTCTCATTTATGGGACTGATCTTATTATCTGTCCCAAAGATAAGACAGAACTATTTGCAAAGAACTTTTTTTTTTAATTTCATTTCACCTCCCCAAGGCCATGAAGGCCATTACACTTGAGGAAGCTACTTTAGTTGTGGTTACAACCCTCTCTCAACTCTATAAACAAGGACTGTCAACTCTTTTGGTTTCACATTGCTTCGAGTGTAATCGTATGCACAAAGCATTTTGGGATGTCCTGGAAAAAAGTTCACAACAATAAACTTGGCTGAAACTCTGCAAAGTTTTCTGTTTTATATTTTGTTATTTTTTAATTAATAATACTCTTCATTGTTCAGAAATGTCTTCATATTGTGCTGCAATAACTGCACAAATACAAGTGGAATTGCTTATAAAAATTATTAATTTATCGAGTTATTTCAAAGATTAACTGAAAGTTAATCTTTGAAATAACTTGATAAATTACTTTCAAAAAATTTTGAATTACTTTCAAAGATTACTGAAAGTAGTAAGTTATTATTCTTATTTCTACATGTGCCAGAGAAGATTTTGTTGGAAAACTTATCGAAATTCTAAACAATGATTATTGTTTGTGCATTAATCATTTTGAAAGTTCAATGTTTTGTTATATGCCTTCTCCGTAAGTCCCTACAAGTTCTAAAATAAAATTCTAATTTTTACAGTATTTAAGAAAATATTTTCTCATCGCATCACATTTCTCACAGCATCACATTCAGACACTGTATGAGACAAATTTTTTTAAATAAATATTACTGTCAACTGTTACACTGACTTTTTACTGACCAACCATTTTGTTGATAAAATTGAAACTCTTTTTAATCTAATAAGTTCAAAAAATTTTCATGTTGATAAACCTGCTCAATGTAAAGTAACAACAATTAAAAATATAATGCTACTGTTTTAAAATACTAGTATTGTGTCAGGAGCTTCTCTTGCAAAAGGTTTAGCTGTTTATTCACATTCACTTTAAGCAAGATTATTTAGAATGTTTGATTGGAACTATTCAGAGCAAAGAAGTTTGAAATGACAGAGAGACTTTCAAACAATTTGGATCAGCTTACCTGAATGCTTTATTGTTGTTGTCATTAGTCTAATGACAACAACCTAATGATTAGAAACTAGCAGGTCTAAAAACAATTGTCTTATTGAAACAGATTTTAGCATTGTACTGCATATTAATGCTTTCTTTAAAAATTCACAATAAAAGATTGAACCAAACAAGATTGTTTTTTTTTGCTGACAAAAAAAATTTTATTTCAACAAATTTACTGTTACAATTCTTAAAAAGAAAACTATTGTACAAGACATACAGATTTTGCTTGTTAAAAAAAGGTGTCTGACTGTGTCAATAGTGTGTGGCAATACTTTGTAGTGAAGGGATGGATATTAGGCATGGTTTAGAGACCAATAAGAAAATAAATATTCAAAATTGTTTACCAAATCCTTATTTATATCATTGATTTGTCATACACTATATGATATTATTCATAGAATTTATTAACAAGTAGCTTCATATTAAAAAAAGATCTTTTAGATAATCTTCTAAAATCATGGAATTCTGTACTTTTGACTTATTTAGTATGAGTTAAGACAAAAGAACTTTTGATGCGTACCTATGCGGTTTCATTTGTATGTAGTTCTTCGGAACAAAACCTTCTTTTCCATTTTGCTCAGCTTTGTACCAGTTTTTGTCATCTGTCATATTCAATACCTAAAAAAACACAAAAATTAACTAAAGTTAAAAAAAAAATGACACTCCACTCACATTGGATGGATATCAACAAATACTTTTAAATTAAAAACTATTAAATTTACACACAAAAATTATTTTGAAAAAATTTTTATAAAATTACACACAAAAATTACATAAAAAACTTAAACTATTCATTTTTAAATAGTTAATTTATTTAAAACTTAAAACTTTAAGAATGTTTTTATGTAACTTTGTAACTTTTTTTGATGTCAGTTTTTATTTAATAAAAGATCAAACTGTTAAAAAATTTAATTGTTAAAAAAACTATGCAATAATATAAAATATGTAATTTTGAAATATTTATTGTTTAAAAAAAAATTATATTACAGGGCAGCAACACAAAAGTTTCATAAGAAAAATAGAACATTAGAGGGTTTTAGAGGAAGTTTTGAATCTAATTTAGATGATTCTTTGCAAAAAAAACTCTGAATAAATAAGAAGGAATTTTTAAAAAAAAAGTTTTACATCCATGATCTGCACACTATTGTGTGACAGGTTTTTATAATGCCAATTTCTATGTTAATTATGGCATTATGGAAGAGTTGAAAATTTTTTTTACAAGCTCATGGTGCTTCCTGGTGTTAACCAGTTACACAGACTAGGAGTGTTATACTACCACTAAGATCACCATCCTAGGTAGTAAGTGACCGGGTCCCCGGCCCCGGCTAAAAACAGAGGTTTTTGCAAACTCGGCCCCAGCCCCGGCTAAACAAACACAATTTGCAGGGGTTACTAGCCGGGGCTAACAAAAATAAATTCAACTATTTTCTAGTATTTATCAATTTCTTTACATTTAAATACTTGAATAGCTCAACTATCTAATTCTAATGATTAAAATTACAATTAAAAAGTTACTTACATTTTAAATGTAAATGCAATTTTACAATAAATTTATCTTATGAAATTTATTTTAGGATATTTTAAACACCCTGATTGTTAGCAAGGAAAGAACAAAGCAGATCAGATGGATATATGGTTTCTTTAAAAGATAGGAAAAAAAGCAATGATCTTAGAGATAGTATGAGAGTAGTAATTATATTTATAGTGTGTATCAGAGAAGATGATAATGATGCCAATGATTAAGATGATGATGATCATTGTCATCATCATCATCAGAATCATCGTAATCATCATCGTCAACTGTATGCTTGATGATGATGATGATGATGATGATGATGATGATAATGATAATGATGATGATGATGATGATGATGATGATGTAGATGATGATGATGATGATGATGATGATGATGATAATGATGATGATGATAATGATGATGATGATGATGATGATGATGATGATGATGATGATGATGATGATGACAATGAGATGATATATATACCTTTATATAAAATATATCATGAATTTTAAATAACAATAATATATTTATAAAGAATATCAATATTAATGCAGCCCCGGTCACAAACCCGGCCCCGGCTATGTTTTATCAAACCTGGCCCCGGCCCCGGTCAAATATCAACTCCGGTCGCTTACTAATCCTAGGTTTATGAGCTTCACATACCCTTACCCACAATGGGGTTTTATACCATTTTTTTCAAACTTCCACAATGCCATAGTTAACATAGAAAATAGCATTATAAAAACCTGTCACACAAGTGTGCGGGAAAAAAAACTAGATGAATGAAAGTTTAAACAGCATGCAGAGACAGATAAAGTAAACAAATGAGACTTTGCTGAATGACGAGTCAGGCAAAAATGAGTTTTGGTTAATGGAACTAGAGATAATAACTCTTTTAAGCAGAGACCATAGTACTACTTGTAAAGAAAAAGAGAAAAAGATGTAACTTTATAACAAAACGAGAAAGGCTCAGCCTAGGCAAATAGAGCAGGTCCAACTGCCTTTACAATACATTTGTGTAACTTGTCTAGAAGAAAAAGAGTATATTTAGAAGAACTAGCCTAAACATGATAATAGTATTTCATACAGGGACAAATAAGAGATTTGCAGAGATAGAGAATGAAATCAAGAGTAAGAAAATGGTAAGCACGATAAAGAGAAGTAACAGCAGATGCTAATTTAGCAATGGATTGTATATAAAGTTTCCATAAAAGGTCAGTAGTGAATGATAATCCATGACAACATAAAGAAGAAGGCTCAATGAGAGGGTTGCTATTCATTAATATTGGAATGTTGACAGTATTGCAATAGTTCTTTGCAGTAAATAACTGAGTTTTGTTGGAGTTAAAATTTACAAGTCACTAAAAGCCCCTATCTGATACAAAAATGAGATCAGATTTAAAATCAGCTGCCTGTTCTAAACTATCGAAAAGAGAAGACTTTTGTCAAGAAAGGAGTATATAGTTGAGTTTTCAGCAAAAAGAGCTACTTCAAATAGAAGGTTGTAAGGAAGATCATAAATGTAGATAAAATACTAAACAGGTCCAAAGAATAAACCTTGAGGTACCCCAGAAGTAACTGGAAATTAAGAAGAGTGTTGGCCTTTGAGGATAACTTTAATAAAGCAGTTAGAAAGAAACAATTTGATAATCTCAAAAACTTAACCAAATATACCACAAGAAGCAAGCTTATGAAGAAGACCAGCATGCTAAACTTTGCTGAAAACTTTAGGTATGTCAAAAGGAATAGCCCTAACCTTACTACCTCCATCTAAATGCACAAAAAAATCTTTCAGTCACAGCAGTTAGAGCAAGTGGATCGAGAACCTTCTTGATTGTCAAGAATCTTGATTGAAGTTTTTTGACTCAAGATGGGATTTAAGAAATTTTTCGATCAAAGCCTTCAAGACCTTGCTAATAACAGAATAATAACTAATTGGACAGTAATTGGAGGGTCAAAATGTTTACCGGATTTTCTTAAAATTGGAACAACAGATGTCATTTTCCAGCAAACAGGAAAACAAGATTCAGAGAAAATTGAAAATAGTTCTGGATAACAATTTTGTAAGACTGACAGGGAATTTATCTGGACCACATGCGATAGAAAAGATTAATTGAGATATGAATTTAGCAATGGAAGCTGAAGTGATTTGAATGTCCAACAATGTGTTGACCTGATTAATTGGAATGGAAAGAAGAGAATGACCATAAGATTCAAGAGTCAAATTTGAAAAAAAGTTCTTTGCAAATAGTTCATTCGTATCCTTGAGAGAGGTAACAAGATCATTTCCATTAATGAGAGATGTAATGTTAGACCTACCTTTGTTGATGATGCTGTTGAAGATTTTCTAAAGTCTCTAGAGCCTAAATTCTGAGATAAGATACGAGATTTAGTGAACTGAGAATAATGGAGCTTCGCATTAAAATAGCACCTTTTTACATCAACTTTTTGCAATTTTTGCCATTTGTTCTCAAGAGAGTTTTTTTTTTTTTTTGAAAAAAACGATGAGGATTAGATATAACAGCTGCACAAGAAAGTGAAAACCATGGAGTAGAATGAGGCCTAACTTGGGACCGAATAGAAAAAATAAAAGTTTCCATTCCTGCCTGAATCCAGGAGATTATGTAAGAGGCGTACTTATCAGCTAAGGGAGAAAAGATGTCAGCCCAAGGACCATCACAAAAAAAACCATGAAAAGAATGCCAGTCAGCTTTAGGGCAGTAGTAAGAAGTGCGATAATAGGATGAGTCAGAAGAAGTACAAGATGAAAAATTTATAGAGATCAATGCATGGTCAGAATCACCTAAGGAAAAAAATAAGAACCTGAACACAAGCTAGGATCAGAGATTAGACATAAATCAAGAAGTAAAAGTTAATGGTGAGGATTGTCAGGAAAATCAGTCAAAAAGTTTACTACCCAAATAAGAGATTGAGAAATGCAGAAGCTTAAGTTTTTTGCCAGCAGGTGTTAGAGCCAAACCACTCAGTGTAATGAGCATTTAAGTCACCAATAACAACAATATTGGCAGAGGGGTAATGAGAAAGGGCATGATCAATTCGATCAGAAATTACATCTAAAAAAGTGCAGTCTTGGGAAGAAGGAGAACAATTTGAAATCTCTCATGACAAATTGGTAAATTGATGTGTATGTATATCTCCAAACCAAGCAAGTAAATATTGGAGTTTTTGCGAATCAAAGAATAGTACCCATTAACACTGAGATCTGAAGAACTGCAGGCTTGGTCGGGAAGCGAGCGCAATCGCACTCCTGACCATTATTCCTGACCACTCAAATTATATTTAGTTGTGACAAATTGGCCACAGCTTTTTAGATGTTTTGAGAACATTTAAATTTAATTATGTTTCCATGTATGTCTGAAACGATTTGACATGCTAAAACAACTAAATTTGTAAATGTTTCTATATTAGCAAAGCGCTTTTAAACTAAACGATGATTATAATAACTTCATTGATTGTTTACATACAGAACACAAACATACAAATATATTAAAAACCTTACTCACTAAAATAAAACATAAATACATATATAAAATACTTAATATAAAAATATAATATAAAAAAATTATATTATACACTTTGATAAATTGAAGAACATTTGTTTCTTTACTAAATGATACTTAATAGTAAGTTGTAACTGTTTATAAAACTGTCGCTTAATTTTATTTAGTAAGATTCAACTGATAGAAGGTTGCTTCGCAGACCACGAATATTTGTAAAAAATATATTAAATAGTAACTGTTAAAATTAATTAAGAGCCATAATCTTAGACATAGATATGAAAAAATGTTATACACGACCATGTCAGAAAAGATAAGAGTGGTTTGGAAATAGAGGTAGAAGTAGGAAAACTTGGAAAGAGTGTGTTACATATTGTATAAATAAGCTTTAGTTAAGGAAAGAAGATGATCGAGATATTATTATAGAAACAGAAAAGGTTTTATAAAAAATTTCATGAATTTTTGATTTAAAAACATATACTTTAGGAAGTATCAATGTCTATGCAGCCCCTATCAAAGCCAATCCCAGTCAAATATTAACCCTGGTTACTTACTATTTGTTGATTGCAGCTCTTTTTAA